ATACTTTACTAATTCTTCACTAATACTAATTAAAACTCTTACATGACACATACTTCCCTTGAGTTCACTGGTAAGACACTTTTCAACCTGTGTGCTTTATGAAAAGGAAGGTCATCTGGTCTAAACAAACAAAGAAATCCAATCCCTGCACAATTGGTTTATTAAGGCAACAATGATAAAATAAAGTTAAGTTATAAGATGGAAAACAATGCTTTTCTATACACTACAGTTGATCAAGTGTACCTAATAATATGTCATGTGTCAACAACTATATGTGGAATGACCAGTGGACAGAGGATAAAAGGCAGCAGGTGGACAAGCTGCTAATGGAGATTCAAACAAACACAGCACTGAATCAGGGAGATCTCAAAGTCAGGATCTAGTCCCAGAGACCGGACTGAAAGCTGACCCAGACAAAGATCAAGACTCGGGTTCAACTGTCTACATCTGACCATCTTTTCAACAGACAAAAACCTCTTTGATTGGCAATGTCGCTCCCACTCTTAACCTCCATTTGCTTATGTCTGTCATGAGTTTGCTACCACTTCATAATTATTACACCTTAATCAGCTTTATCCTATTTTCTGATCTTAGTTATAATGTTGTTTCCTCATCACAAACATGCCTGGAGTTGTTTTGTTTCATTCACATATGTTTAAGACACAAAACCTGCATATTTTAATCTATGTGCTTTTCACAAACAGAAAATGCTCCACTCCACTTTGTGATGTCATGTGGTAATACAGAAAGTGCTCTACTGTGTTTTTAAACACCACACACCTTCACTATAATCATTTAGATAATTTCAGCTCTGGACTTGACCATTTTCACTGAACTAAAGGTAAAAAGGTAGCTTTTAATTTGAAAACTCTCGCTTGATGACAGCACAAGGTGGAACAGAGAATTTTGAGCTTTGGAGATGCAAACAGATTAATAATAAAAGGTTACTAAAACATGCATGAATGAAACACAACACTACATATGCACATTCTGACATGGCTTAAAGATCACAAGAGTCAATTTTGCGTAACAAAGGATTTTTAATGAAGCATCACCAAGCACTTAATTCATAATGGTAGTTAAAGTAGGGTTGAGGCATTAATTAAAGTTGTGCAACTTTTCTTGTACAGGGACTAGAAAGTTTCATAGTACATTAAACACATGACTTTAAACTTATGGAGACAGACAAGCAAGTGACAAACTCATTTACAAGTCAAATCTGTGGAGAGGAGGGTCTGCTCACAGTAAGAATGCCTGTTTTTCAAGCAATAAAAACACCTGTAACTGAATAAATATTAGATATATTTAATGCCATATTGTGGAACATACCAAGGAAAGCAATAACGTCAATATAGTCACATAGTGCACCTTGAAGTAGTTGCAAAGCCTGTATGATTTAAGTCTCTGTTCAACTTTATTAAGACTATTAAAGGTGGAGTTATATAATTATGTGTAGTAGCAATTATAAAGTGGTACCATTTGTTTATCAAAATGATGCAAATATGAATAATGGCAATATCAGATATATTGAATTATATTGGAATAGACTAGAGTAGACATAATAGTTCATGTCTATAATGAGTGATAATTTAATATGTGTCAGATTTACAAAATGTGTCAAAATAATTGTTGTTTGTCTTTTTGTTTCCACATAATTCCACACAAAGGAAATTTCGATCTTAAGATGATCAGACACTTTTCTGGTCATAGTGCAAATTCAAAGTGACAAATAAGAACATGACGCTTTGTGTGTGTCATGGTGCAATATCTGAATTACAGAAAGGCCTAAATGGGCGGGGTTAATGGTTCAGTAAAACATAAAGCATGATTCAAAATCAGGTACAGGCCCTTTTGGCTATCCATGTTCACTCTACACTACATTTTATTAAAACTTACCAATAAACTTACGGTAATAACAAATAGTACTGTATTCTCACACACTCATGGTTTGATCCTGTTCTAGTCCTCCTTTAGTCTTGGTAAAGTCCACATTTATTCTCAGTTTAATCCAAATTTTAAATTGACCTCACCTTAGAAGTTGTTTTATCATCAGATTTGTGGTCACAACATCTCAAATACTTTTCAGTGAAGCTACAACTTTGACAAACAAAACATTTTTCAGTGACGTCACCTGTGTTAAATATAACTACAGGCACCTCCTCACACTCCCACTGAGCTGAGAGGATAAAGTTAGCTCCTGAAGAAACCTAAGATCCGGAGGAGCCTTGGGAACCCAGAAGGAAGGTCCATACAAGGAGCTCAGACCATGGGGTGACGCAGAGTAATAAAGAAATCCATGTACACTGCGACTACTGTTGGAAGAGATTAGAATTTATCAGTATCACTAAAACAATGAAGCAAAAATAAACAACTGTATATAATTCTTACTATGTGCATAATATTAATGTCCTGTTTACATGGAGCATTTTGGGTGGTTGGAGAGGTTTAGGGGTAGAATGGCCACCAATGGATTCTGTATGCTTGATGATGTAATAATTTGAGGAGGAGAGTAAGGCAAGTCCAGTTTATTTGTATAGCACAATTCGTACAGAAAGCAATTCTAAGTGCTTTATAGAATAAGAAATACATGAAAATCACAATATAACTAATAAATAGAAATATAAATCATCGTAAAATTAAGTGCAGATTAAAAACTTTTCAGTCATTTGCACAGCTAAACAAAACCATTTTGAGCCTGCATTTAATCATTGTCTAAAGAGAAGGCTATCTCACATTTTCAGGAGCATTGTTTCAGATTTTAGTTGCATAAAACTGAAATGCTGACTCTTCGTGTTTGGTCCTGACTCTGGGCACCAGTAGGAGGCTGGGATTAAACCAGGACTATATCAGGAAACTGGTCCCTGAGGTCCTCTATATTTCTATAGCTCTGTTTTTTTTCTTGTAGATATACAACAATTATGCCTTTATGCCTTATTTGACACCAGTTTCTTGCTGTTCTTGCATCTTATATTGAATTTATTATGACCATTTATGTTTTGGCTAAGTGTATGTCAGAGTGTGAGATGGTTTAAATGGCACCAACATGTTGGAGATGATACTTCTGTACTCATACTTCTTGGTTCTAGTCAGGAGCTCGTTTGGAAAGTCCATTACAGTAGTCTAACCTACTGGAGACGAACACATGGATAAGTCTCTCCAAGTTCAGTGTACATAGTATACATTTGATTTCAGAGAAGATTTTAGATATTAGAGATTAGATAGAATTTTTTTCTTTTTGAAATAATAAAATAAACAACTCATTTAAATAAAACATAACCCCGAGAACAACTACAAAAATAAATCGTAACAACTATACATCATTTTGAAAACAACAGCTGTCTTTATCATTTTTGTCAGGGATTGGTTGCACAAACTTGATGCATTTAACCTTGTGACTAAAAGTAAACAACCATTCCTTTGTGATTATATAATTAAATGCTAGACCAAAGTATTTGATAATGGCAGCTAATTACGCCATAGAATTCTCACCTGCCTGCATGCTCAATGTTGAACTTTGGGGGCAGTATCATATGAACCTAACCTTTATCCTGTCCCAGACGAGTGCGGCTACAGAAATATTTACCAGCAATGGAAAGAAATAATGAACAAATATTTAAAAAAAAAATACATTAACAAAACAATATTGTGTTACTTCAGCTGTAACTCACTCGACATTTGCACCAGTTATGGGTTGTTTTACTATGAGTTGCTGCCAGATGCCATTCTCACCACTTAAACATATTATTCATACAAGTGCACATATAACTCTATTAATAGTTTATAGTTCTGTACATGTGTCATGTGATACTGTGTGAATATACAGTAAACTATAAGGAGGATTTTACATTGACCAACAGTACTATACTATACTACTATACTAGTACATGATAAAACATTAGATTACTATAGCTTTTACAGTTTTTTTTCATGCCTACCAGCCTACCAGTGCATCATGATTTTGTGCTTTTGGGCAAGATACTTGACCTGCCTACCCTTCAGTGTCTGTCTACGATGATGCATGAATGTGTGAGAGAACTGGTGCGCCAAGAAATTAAGAGTAAAAAGTATTTGGGGAAACTATTACTCAAGTTCAAATTATTTCATATTGCCAACCAACATAAATTGTCACTAAGACTTACTCACGGTGGGAAAAGTAACTTTTACTCAAGTAAGAGTTCTGTTACTTCAATAAAAATATTACTCAAGTAGGAGTAAAAGTATGCTGATAGAAAAGCTGTAACCATGTACTGTTATGAGATTTTGAAATAGCTTATACTGTATAAGAGCATAAAAGAAAGGATTACAGTTACATAAATAAATTAAAAGAGAAAAATAAAGTGGACCGTTCCAACAGATAAATCAGTGTCATTTTTTGAATTTTCTTTTGACTAAGCTTTTTTACTGACCCATTTAATCTGTTAAAAGATTATACTTATTTTGTCATTACATGACAGCTCATATAGTATATCCAACAGTACTTAAACAAGATTGGGCAAAATTTATTAGATACTGGTTAAAAAAAAAAAAAAAAAAAAAAGTCTATACAATTTGTGCTGTATTTTACATTGTACACATTGCAGTGTTATTTTTGTGTATTTTTTTTGTAGTTTAGATTTTTTTTCCATAGACTTAAGTGGCTAATGTTTAAGGTAGCAGTGGCTCAGTCGTCTCGTCTACCACCCTGAAGGTTGAAATACTGTTTCCCACTCAGACCAGTGCATACTGTTGTTGTGTCCTTTGACAAGACACTTCACCCACCTTGGCCGATGGTGCAGATTGGCATCCTCGCTTCTGTCAGTCCATCCCAGGGCAGCTGTGGTTACAATAATAGCTGAAGTAAGGCAACTTTGAGTGTCCAAAAACATTATGCAAATCAAATGCTGTATTTTCTCTTTTATTAATATCACTATGTGAAATAAATCTACTGATACAAAGTTATTCCTGTCATAATGAAGAGACACTGGACACCTGTTCATCCACATAAGAGTTTATTGTTGGGTACAGCTTGTTTTCCTGTGTGTGGGGTTAAGACTTGATGCTTGATGGAGGGATGATTGTGAACCTTCAGAAACTCTTGGTGCTTCTCTCCATTCCTCCCTCTCTCCCTCTCTCCCCCCTCTCTCTGTCTCTCTTTCTCTCAGGCAAAGTGCAAAAACAACCGTTTAAAAAACACGTGATCACTGTCCACTTCCTCTGGGCGCTCAGGGCTGCTGTGAGCTGTGGTTTCACACATGCTCAGATGCAGATTTAGGAGGTCTCGAACATCTTCTTCCTGTCGGCCTTATCCTCAATGTTCTTACGCCAGTCGCCCACGGCTTCTGACGACTGGACAGAGACAAAGAAGAATAAGTCAATGGAAAGTGAGTCTAAAGATGGAAACTACAGGTTTAAACACAAAAATTATGTAATTATTTTTATGATGCATTATGTAACTTTTTTAGAAAAGGGTTCACCAGCTGCTTATCTCATACTTTTCTTTGCATAAAATGTTCAATAGGGCATTAAATGTAGCCATCTTGCATGTATTTACTACCACTTCACTAAATTGTCTATGGAGACTGATGACACTTGAACCCTGACTTGGCAGAAACACGTGATGAATTATAGTATTATTACGTGTATGTCTATTCCACCATAGCATTGTATAAATTATATTATGTTCTTCGGATCACATACAGACTGGCAGGTTGCTGTTTCACTCGACTCACCTCCTCTTTGACCTCCTTCTTGACCTGCTTCAGGTTGGACCTCAGATCCATAGTGACCTTGTGTTTGGAGCCCAGCAGAGCCTGGAGCATGCTATCAGCGGACATACGCACTTTCTTCAGAGCGGGCTTCTTCACTCCTACCAGGTCCACCACTTTGATCTTCAGGTCCTCAATCTGGGGCACAAACACAGAAATTACCATGTGGCATTTACAAGACTCTTAACATCTTGTATATTTTGACACTATTTGGAAAGTGTTGGAGATGCAATCACTGGCCTGCCACTGTTTCTAGTAGCACTTTAGTTCAGGGACCACATACTAAGGGCTAAGGTATAAAATAAGTGCTTAATATATGAAGTAAGTATTCATATTTTTGTCTGTGTCTAACCCTAAGTATTGAGACATTAAGTATTTTCTCTCCATTAATATTTCTGACTATTGTTCATAAACAGGTGCTTCTGAACTTACTAATGTACTAAGATGATAGTTAGTATTTAAAAAACACATGCCCTAACAGCTAAATCACCATGAACAAGCATAACAATTACCACATAACAATTAGTCCTGATGTAGACATGGTTTGGTCCTGTTCTGTTTAAGTCCTGCTTTACTGCCAATTGTAATGTGGTGTGTGCACCCTAAATTTTCTCCTCAACTGTAAGTTTTGTATTTTTTACTGTTTAAAATAAAAACATACATTTAATGATTGGTTATTAATGTACATTTTATTTGATTTACCTCTTTGTCGGCCTTCTGCACTTTGGCCTCAATGTCGTACCTCTCATCATCAATCTTGTCGATTTGAGCATAAATTTTCTTAGCCACCTCCTGTTGTGAAAAACAGTCATCAGATTTTTGTGCCTAATTGAATAAATATCTTGGAACAACTGGAAATAATCTTATAATTTCCCATAATGTTTTTACAATTAACTTTAACTTTTGCCAAGACCAGAAAATGGGTCATACTTGTGCTAAACTAGTAGTTCGAAACGTAGACTAAACCAAAGGAAAATGTGGATTAAATTGACTAACTGCACTATGTAGCTTTTCTCGTGGAGTGTCCACCACCTATTTTTTTCCATGGAGATATTATTGGTTTGCCTTAAACATTCCATAGTGTGGTATTACACTTATCCATCTTAGGTGACACTCAAGGCTAAGTTACATCTTAAATCTGTGTAGAGGCAACCATGCTTACAGTAAAAATTCATCTTTTTCTAAACTATTTTCTTAGAGAATAAAGTTAAATATTAATTTTTTTTTGCTGCATTATTCCATACATCTAGCACCATATATTTAATGTCTTCTGTATGTATCTAAAATGTAGAAAGTAGTATAGAACATAAAGAAAAAAAGAAGGTGTGCCTAAATTTTTACTAGTGGTAAAAGTTAAGATAAAAAAAAACAAAAAAAACACAATTGTCACTTTCTGACATGATGTCTTGATTTCTCACCATGAGAGCAGCCTGGTCCCCGTTCATGTCGGGGTTGGGACAGTGCTCATTCATGTACGCCTCTTTGGCCTCCTCAATCTCCTTCTTCTCTTGCTCCAGCCAGTTCAGGGCAATCTGCAGGATCACACTCTACACAGGGAAACATGGAGGCAGTTAGTCTGTCATAACAAAACACAGTGACATTTTCAGTCTAATAAGAAATACCTTCAAGTGATGCCTGCGGCTGGATGTCATCTTTTTCCTGTTAAGAGCGAAGTTGAATTACATTTTATTTGTTAGTTGGACTGTACATTAATAATTAATAACACAAAACACTATTACTTTCGTATTGTGTATTAGGACTTTTTTCACATAGATGCCATTTTGAATCCTATTTAATTATAATTATAATTTTAATTATCTCATTATATTATAGTACATAATTTATAGGTTTCCATACCTTTTGACTTGTATCCATTTCCTGTAAACTGATCTTAACATTACCCACACTTGTTTTATCTTAACCTAAACCTTAAAGTAACACTATGTAACTTTCTAGAAGTGGCACAGCAATTGCATGATTAAACGGAAATAGAACGTTAAAACCACTTTGGAACTTTCTCCATGTCGATAGACACATTTTATGCCATACAACGGAACTACATTTCCATGGAAACTAGTAGAAGAAGGCCCTCCTCCAGGCCAAATAAGAATCAAGAGTCAGGTTTGTGGAGATAGAAGTTTGCTCACAGCAAGGATACATGTTTTTAGTGCAATAAAAATATGATGAAAAAACTTGAATTTTAGTCAAATTTTTGGCAAAAACTTACATACTGGAGCTTTAACTTAAACCTTAAACTCATCATAGGAACCTGATTTTTATCGGCATAAGGTCCCCATGAACTGAGTCCCCACAAAATACCTGCCCATAATAATTTAGCTCCAACACGCACACACACCAATTATAACCCCGTGCATTTTTGTCAGTTCCATTAAACTCGTTTTCAGCACTTACTCAGACATCTTGGTGGTTTTTGAGGCTCACGACCTGCACAAAGACAGACAATATTTGAGTGATTTTGACCTTTGTGCGGAAGTTCTCTGAGATCAGCATGTTCCTCAGTGAGAAGGTAGACTTGGATGGTCAGAAATATTTGAGCTGTAACATGATCATGGACCACAGCTGAGGATGTGAGCCACTCCGGACTAAACTGGGACCAACAGGATCAGGTGGCACGGCAACCACCATTTACAACTATAGGTAACTCTGAATCATTTGGATGTGTTCGCCAATTAACAGCTGAGGTAGTTAAGCAATCACGTAATTTAGCATTGCATATAATTTGAATCTAATTTCACTAATTAAGTTAGCCTATTCAATTTTTAAAAATGACTTCACTGAATAACCATGGTCAATACCAATCAGTTATCAATAATAACAAATTGCCATACCAAATTACCTATGCCAATAATAATAAGTCAATTACATTATCAATAATAATATTGAGTATTCATGCATTGCATGTATGTATTGCAATAAACTATTTTGCCTTTTTTAAATTTTAGAAATCTGTAGAATGTAACATGTATAAAATGTTATAATAATGTAACTGAAGTGAAAGTGAATTCTCTAACAAAATTAAGTATTCAAACTTACAAATGTTTAATTAGACTATAACAGAAATCTCTTTACCAACTAACATAACTTTTTCCATTATATTTTACTTCCTTGCTAACCTTCAAGACACGAGGCAGCTGTCTGTAACTGCAAAGCAAGGAGTCATAGCAGTGGCCAATTATAGGCTCCAACGTACACATGTTACTTCCTAACAACTTCAAAGCAGTAAAACTGAAAATTCTAAAGCATAAATTTAGCTCTGACAGCAAAAGGTGAAAAGTCATCAACAAACATACAGAAAGTGAGTTTAGAAAGAATAAGAACAGGTCAAAGGTTGAGACCAATAACTTTCAATTTAGTCTTGAGGTATTTCAAAATGGCTGTCGCTTGGCCTATTAAACATTGTCCTATTAAGAGTATGATGCTGTTCTCAGAGATGTTTGAAACATATAGAAAAATAAGTTTTTTTCTCACCTATAGAGAGGAGGAAGAGGACAAGACACACTGGGTGGAAGATACGGACACACTGTCAAAGCCACGGACAGTGAAAAATGAAAAAGGGTATATATGGTGCCTCAGCAAAAAGCACCAGCCTCTACATGGAAGTGGATTCTCCTTCAGACCAATGGGCCTGCGAGCTCCTGAAATACATCCAACCATCCCACCAACCCAGCCCTGTGCCCTCCCTCCCCACACACACAGGGACAGAGACAGGGACAGTTAGACCCCATCAGAGCAGGGGGTGGAGGGGAGTCATGAACTGCACAAATGAGATAGAGGAGTAACATTTTTCATTTACAAAGTTATTATAATACAGGATTTATGTAGCCTGTTTGTCGATTTCCAGTGACTTCCCTTCTCGTCTATGTGTGTCATAAGTTTAAACTGTCTTAAGTAAATTAGTAAGTAAACAGTACACAATTAAACATTTGATTTGATGACATTCTTGTACAGTGACAGTGCTAATTACTGAGTGAACAATTGATATTTTTCCAGGTTTAGTTAAACATTTGCATTGCTTTCTATAAAATTGAAAAAAGTCTGAAATAAGTAGTCAGCTAAATTCCAATAGATCTACCATATTGGACATATTTCTGAGTTGTAACCTCACCACCAGATGGCACTAAAATGCATAAAAATTACCACCTAGTGCTTTTTCAATTACCAAGTTAACAAGCTGTTTTGATCTTTGACATTTAATAAAAACTCTAATGTAAAACTCTAAAAGGACATAAAAAATAATATGCTCAGCAACTATCTTAAACTGGGATAAATAAAAAAATAGATAAAGTAGCTGTAACTTCAAAACATTTATTTTTGAATGTTTTCATGAATATGTACATAGATGTATGCTTCTCTGATAACTGGTTCAACTACTATGTATACTGATATACTGTTGCATCAGTCCAGTCCTTGATTTAAAAAATGTCTCCAAACAGTGTAACCACTCAGACCTGAGCTGCACCCTCAGCCCCTCCGTGTGTTTATCCTTCTGGTGTTTAGGAAGTCTCAAACATCTTTTTCCTGTCTGCTTTATCCTCAATGTTCTTACGCCAGTCCCCAACTGCCTCAGTGGGCTGCAAAAAAGAAGATACAGAGATGTGGAACTAGTATCAAAAGCTATGTTTTTAATGTTCTTATACAGAAAGTAGCCAATTCTCTAACAGCCCTCCCCTCCAGTGTGGCTTTGTTAGCAATATGATAAAAATCCAGTAGTGATGTAATCAAAGTGTTAATAAGTCTCAAGTTTTGACAGAATGACAAATGAATTTTACACAGTCACAGTGAAATACAAACTTTTAGAGGCAGCAGATGGATTTGTGTAGCCTGATTTATCAGCTGTCTCACCTCGCAGCATTAATATTTGTTCGTTTGATGGTGGGCGGGTACTTTTTTATTTAAACAATCACTGCTATTTGGTCGAGACTTATGTAATGCGCCGGAATGCTCAGTGGTGTCTAAGTAATTGCAGACTTCACAGCTCTTTGCTGATTGGCTGGTCCGCAGTCTACAACTTCCGGGGTTCTTGCAAACCATCAAGTGTATTCTGATTCCTGACCTAGTCGGTGTCGAGAAATTAAATTGAACGGAGGCACTAGGTGGCGCCAGTCTGGCTAGAAAATTACGAAACACTTTCAACTGGGGGCAAGCGCCAAAGTTGGTAGGCTAGAGAATTGAACCCCCCATTTCTGAACAGAGACAGATCCATACCCACTTTTATTCTGCATCTGAATGTAATCCAGTGCAGGCATTTAAAAAACAAAACAAAAAAAACAAGTGCATCATGGTGAATCATAATTATCATGCACAGTAATAATAATTTTGTAACTTCAGTCCAGTGATGTGTCCTCACCTCCTCTTTGACCTCTTTCTTGACCTGCTTCAGATTAGCTCTCAGATCCATGGTGACCTTGTGTTTTCCTCCGAGCAGAGCCTGCAGCATGGCGTCAGCGGACATACGCACTTTCTTCAGAGCGGGCTTCTTCACTCCAGCCAACTCCACCACCTTCAACTTCAAGTCCTCAATCTGCAGCGAATAAATTCAGACAAATTCAGATTAGAGCCATGTACCTACAACATTATAAGCTTATTATTATAAGCTCTTACCTCTTTGTCAGTCTTCTGCACTTTGGCCTCAGCATCGTACCTCTGATCGTCAATTTTGTCAATCTGAGCATGAATCTTCTTGCAGATTTCCTGTTAAACAATATACCACATTATTCATTTGCACTACACCTATTGGACTTGGTCTTTTCTTAGTGACAACTACGTGCTTATACTGACTGTATTACAATAAAAAGTAGCATATAGGCCTGCATCCAATTTTGAACCATGAGTGAGGAACAGAATATACTGTTAAACAAGCTCACTTCAACTCTTCTCTCACTTGAACCATGACAGGGAAACAACTATCTGGCAGCGCCTGCACCTGACTTTTATTTCTTTCAATCAGAGACAGGGTTACATGGACCACGTGGAATCAAGTGCTTGTGACTATCTCAGACAGTCAGAGATAGTCTCTCATGTTTCAACATCAGGGAGAGAAGGGAGAAAGTGTGTAGCATTACAAAATCCCAATTAAATATTAAAGACTTATAGAAAGCTGTGATGTCATCTTAAGTTGACCAAATTTGACAGCTGGACCACACATTCTGCATCTTAAGAAGCATAACTCATACATGTGCACTAACCATAAGGGCAGCCTGGTCTCCACTCAGGTCTGGAGGTGGGCAGTTCTCATTGATGTAGGCCTCCCTCGCAGCAGCTATGTCCTTCTTCTCCTGCTCGAGCCAGCCAGCCGCAATCTGCAGCATCAAGCTCTATACAATACGAGGCGTAGTGTTAGATGTGGAAAACAGTGAAAGTGAAACTAACTACTGTTTTTACTCTGTTCTCACTTTCAGATGATGCCTGCGGCTCGAGGTCATTTTCTTTCCCCTGTGAAAGAAAGAGCACAGGCTTTTTTTCTATGATCACAACGTTATCCATACATTTTCCACCTTCAATATTTTGTTGACAGGACTACATAATGTATCAGAAAAATAAGGATCTTGCCAAGCTATAATGTTCTACTAGTATATCTATATCTATAACTTCTGAATGTGATGCAAATTAACTTTTTTTTAACGTATTACATTCTAATTTAGTCTTGTTTTAGCCATAGCTTTATTAAGTATTTATTGTGCTACAGTTTGATTAGTAAAGTAACAGAATTGGATTTGTAGCTTTAATTAAAATAAATGTCCGATGTCAAAACGTATATTAAAATATCATCATCAAAAAAGTAGTAAATTGAATATCAGGTTTTTCAACCTCAGATAGGACCTATATCTACTTAAAAAATCTTAAAAATCATAGCAAAACAAAACTAAAAAAACTAAAAACAAACTCAGATGAGTAATTACTTACTCAGACATTTTGACCGGTGCTGATCTTCAGACTCTGTTCACAGACAAAACAAGAGTTAGACCTTACAACAGCAGGCCATACAGAACTGTCCTGACATTACATGCTATCGATCATTCAACATCCTGGAAACCTGAGCTCTCTCTCCACCAATCACAAACGGCCTAAAATAGGAACCCGGGTGCTGGGCGGGTCAAATGCCAGGGCCCAGCAAGAACAGTTGCCCTTCGTTCTTTCAGAAGACACTGGAATTTAACGTCCACAGGTTTTGAAAGATTAAATGCCAGAGGAGGAGGAACCAAATGTGGCACCATCAAGCACGCAGTGAGGGCTGTTAACACTGCAGTAGACATCCGGAAGGCATGTCACAGCTATGAGCAATGTCCCGAAACAGAACAAGAGACATGGGCCCACTGAACAATAAAGAAGTCTTCAGATACTCACAGGCTTAAGGATAAGGCAAACACTTGAATGCTCAATTAGTGCTAGATTAACATTAATACCAGAAGGAAACCATTACTTCTTTGGTTAATAGTTCTAATCTAAAGTGCACCAAACGCCAGTTCAAGGTGACCCCAACAAGCCAATTCAAGCTGGTTTTGAAATAATGTTCACGAGATGAAGCAACTGTTAAACAATTTATAGATCACATCTCATAAGAAACTGAAAAGTTATATTAAAAAATATAATGTGAAATTGAAATTATCATCATATATGCATAATTTTAAATGACATGATATAATAAATTAAATTAATGATGTTTTTAAAAAATCAAGTAACATAATGCAGCCAATACTAACTTGTAAATGCTTAATATTTTGCTAGAATTTTTCATACAGAAAAAAAAAAAAAGAAAATATGAAATTGCATGATGCATTTAAAAAGAGCTAATAGCCGAAAACAAAATTTTTTTACCAATTTTTAGCTTTATCGCTACAGTATTAATTCCCAAACAATTCATAAACCAGAACTTTTCACCCCTTGAAAAAAACTGTTTAAAAAAAAAAAATTTTTTTACTTGACATAAAATCATTAAACAGCACCATATTGAATAATGAAATACTGAAAAATAACAGCAATTACAAGCTCACCTAACAGAAGATGGAGGACTGCTTCTGCCGATGCCCGAAAAGACAAGAGGAGAAAGAGGAGGGGGCTGAGGAACAGTCTAAACACTAACCATTAAACTTTGTATATAAGAGCTCTCTCAGCACATAGGCCAGTCCTCTTTATGGTATGGACATGTAAATGACCAATGAGCCACCGGGAGCCAGAAATACCACAACAACGACCTTGTAAATCTACTGAAGTCATCACCTCAAGGTGAATACTGGTGAGACTGTACTCCCACCCACTGTTTAGAGCCGGACAAATGACAAGTGACAAGTGTAATGCTATGGGAGGGGTCACGCTGTGTTCTAGTGTTCTACAGGGGGCAGCAGCAAAGAAGTAAGAATATAAAGCTTTATAGAGACAAGGAAAATCAAAGACCGTCTGACGACATTACCAGCAGGTTACTACAATAAAGTAGTCAATTAAAATATCCCATTTGTTAACCATATTATCAGTGAAAAACAACTGGACATACTTAGCTTTTCAACATTTCACTACCAGCCAGCTAGCTTCATCAGGACTTGTGTAGGTGACGGCGACTCCTACTAGATGTAGAAGTGGGTGATGACATTTTAGTGACTTCGCCACACCATTATCAATTCCATTATAATTTCATAAGCAGCACATGAATTAAAAGTCAGATCAACTCTAACCCCAAATACTGCAATTTTGTTATCCGTTTTCAGCAAGAATTTTGACCAATATTTAAAGATGCACCATCTAACTTTACTTGTGTTTTGTCTGCCACCTGCTTGTCTCAACTGAGATGTGATCGCTTTACCTAGATCCACAATACCCATCTCCATGCCGACAAGCAGATTACTCGACCAGGCAAGCTTAGAGGTCAGATCTGTGAAAAGGCAAGCCCACTCACCGTGAGAAAGCATGTTTTTTCATGTATTTTACTTGCAATTAAACTACTTGATCAGTAAGTTTAATGCCAAATGCAAAGCAGTAACATTTCCATGGAGACAAACATGTGGCCATCTTCCAGAAAAGTTACATAGTACACCTATAAATTTGGGGTTAAGAGGGGTGATTTCAAGCATTGTGTGTGTGTGTAAATGTTTAAAATAAAATTGGTACTCACCATCTGAAGTCATTGTAGTGTGGTCCATTGGCAGGTACTTCAGAGAGTCCAGTAAAATCCATATAGGAACACAGGAGTATAGAGGATCTCTACTGACATCTAGTGGTTGATAGTAGCTTTATACTTGTTATTGGTAGACTTGAACAAATTATAACTTCTCTCAAATTTTCAAAAGTAAAAATGTATTTTATTTTTGTCCATTGCAATACATTAAGTTACAGTATTTGTATGTATGCTTTGACATGTTAAATTTGTCTACTCCAATAGGTATACTTAACTACCGGTAGTGTGTTTTTACATTTATACATTCAAAATTACTTAAGCGGGTGAGTTTTTGTTTTTAAATATCCCAGAACATTTAAAGACAATTTAGTTTTTTTTATCCAAGAAAAAAGCTTGGATGAACAGACGAGGGAGGTGTGGCAGACCAAAAGGCAAAATAAAAATGTCTTTAGCTAGTCTCAAACATCTTCTTCCTGTCAGCTTTGTCTTCAATGTTCTTACGCCAGTCACCCACGGCCTCAGCGCTCTGAAATACAAGCACAAACAACTCTCAAATTCTCCCCTAAAAGATTAATAATAATGGTAATACAATTGCAGCTGGTATGCACTTAGATGGCATTTTCTCCTTCTTCGTATATCTGGTCACCTGTCACTGTCTGTCAGCCAATTCAGCCAATCACAACTAGATAACTTTGCCTCTCAACCAGTCACTTTTCTCACTATTCATAAAAATGTAGTTCTCTTCTCTACTTTTACCCAACACCACCACAGCAGCAGAACCAACAGCCCCCTCAGCTTCTCTATCTGCCTGTTCATTATTACATCTCTCACGTGTTGAAGCAAAACATTTTGGAAAATAGGGAAATCTATCTTCAAAAAAGAAGCCAGTCTACTCAAATCACTGAAGTTTGATCATTTGATTAGGGAATTATTTTAGGATGGAGGAAATACCAAGTCATTATATATGTTACCAATAGTAAAAAGACTGGGACTACATCATGAAGTCTTTGTTCTCTATCAGTTTGTCACCATCTGGAATATCACTTAAGCTCCTGTATCCATTTTTTCCATTTTTTTCCAAATGTATTCGAGCAAAATTTGTCTCGTCACAGTACAGATGTATTGTATAAGCAACTCTTGATGTCAAAATATGTCTGCTGCTTGCTGTATGCATCTAATTAGAAAACCTTTGATTGCATGATAATCAGAAATGTGCATTATCATATTTTTAGCTTAACTGTCACGGCAAAACTCCTGAGAGCTCTGTCTCTGAGAGCTGTTAAAAGCATTTATAAGCTCATCGCAGTGAATAATAATTAGGATGTTTGGAATGCATACAGTAAGTGAGAAATAACTTTGGACCGCTCCATTTACCATGCGCTAGCTCTGTTTTTGAAAACAGTAAAAGTGATATACGGTGCCATTAATTTAGTACTCAAGTGCATTCTGCCATACAGTTCACCCAGAGCATGTACAGTGTATTATTGCCTTGGTGCACACTCACCTCCTCTTTGACCTCCTTCTTGACCTGCTTCAGGTTGGACCTCAGATCCATGGTGACCTTGTGTTTTCCTCCGAGCAGAGCCTGCAGCATGGCATCAGCAGACATGCGCACTTTCTTCAAAGCGGGCTTCTTCACTCCAGCCAACTCTTTCACTCTCATCTTCAGCTCCTCAATCTAACACAGGGACAAATATGAACTTCAGTCATTTCAAATTGTCTTGCATCTTATCGAACCAGAACTTCCTGTGCAAATTCTGCCTTAGATAGTGAGTAAGATAGTAAGTCCACCAATCTCAGGTTATTGTTGGTGTAGCAAGGCAGTGCTATTTGTGGTTTTGAGTCTTTTTGAGGGAGAGAATTATGATCTGAACTGCTATTTGCTATGGCAAAAGTCTCAATATTCCATCACTTTGAAATTCATAGATACATGGCAAATTTACTTGGAAACTTCAAAAAAAGAGGAACTAAACACTAAATCATTAACGCCTAAATCTATGTTTATGCTGCCTTCAGTGGCCTCTGCAATTTTCAGCAGTTGGTGACATTAAGAAAAACTGCCCTGATTACACACACACACACAAAAAAAGATATATGCCTTTCAACACAAAAGACTTGTTGCCTTCATAGACTGTATAAAGAAGTTGACTAAGTGTGGAGTGTGACATCACCCATAGCATTCGGCTCCAGTCAAATGAAGCTCAGGAGGCTAGAAGTTATAGGAGTTAATCTCTCTCTCTCTCTCTCTCTCTCTCTCTCTCTCTCTCTCTCTCTCTCTCTCTCTCTTCTCTCTCTCTCTCTCTCTCTCTCTCTCTCTCTCTCTCTCTCTCTCTCTCTCTCTCTCTCTCTCTCTCTCTCTCTCTCTCTCTCTCTCTCTCTCTCTCTCTCTCTCTCTCTCTCTATATATATATATATATACATACATACATATATAATACATTTGAAAAAGAGTAAGAGTGAAATATTTAGCTCACCTCTTTGTCGGCCTTTGTCACTTTAGCCTCTGTGTCATATCTATCCTCATCGATCTTGTCCAGAGCCTGGTGCAACTTCTTGCAGAACTCCTGAATGTGAAAATATTGTTGACGTTCATATTATCTGCCATAAAACCAGATGAATTGAAATTAAAAGTTAAAATGTTTTTACCTGGAGGGCAGCCTGGTCTCCACTGAAGTCAGGGGCAGGGCAGTGCTCGGCCATGTACGCCTCCTTGGCCTCCTCAATCTGTTTGGCCTCCTCTGCCAGCCAGTTAGCAGCAATCTGAAGCATCAAACTCTGCACAGAGAAATTGAAAGAGTCATTATCTCATTAGCTGATACGCATGTTAAGGTTTTACAAAATATGAATAGTTAAAAATATTGTAGGTTATCTTGCGCAATATCTCAAATAATTTATTGAGCCCTAGCATATCATTTGCCCAGAACACAAACCTCTGCTGCAGAAATGTTATATAACAAACTGGATATTTCAGGGACATCTATATTCCAAACAAGCAATACAGTAGATACAACAGGGTAGATACATTTAAAAATTTTGAATATGAAGTCAGGATCAGCACAAGTTTGTTTACCTTCAGATGATGCCTGCGGCTTGAGGTCATCTTCTTTCCCCTTTAGGAAACAAGAGAGGTGTTACAAACTATAAACTTGAAATACTTAAATTGTATCGTCTTTAAAAGACAAATGGACTTACTCAGACATCTTGACTTCCTTTTAGCTCTGACTCTAAAAGAAACAAAAAACAATGTTGGATTATTCCAGTCAAAGCAATAACATCTCTATGGAGATGTAGCTTCTCGCCATCAGGGAGAAGTAACAAGCCAAGTCTGTGGAGAGTCACATTCTTATTTTTTTATTAAGGCATTTTTCAGTCTTATTTATTAGCTAAAATATTAAACTATGGGGCTTTAATATAGATACCTAATTTAAATGTTCTCTTCTTCTAATGGCACACAACTTTGCTGCCTCATCTCTGTTATTTTGCTTATCCTTTTAAACAAAATGTAGCAATAAGAAACATTACTTTGAATTACAATGACAATAACTATTACTTCAAGTTCCTATGCTATTCCCATCCTATTGCTGTGCTAATACTGGGCTGTAAATACAGCGCTACCTGGATTTCATTAGGATTTGTCTAAATCCTCATTTAATCCACACTTACAATGTGGCTTGAGTGGTTCTGTTTTTAGAAAGTCAAATTCTACTCTATTAAACAGGAGGCCTCAAGAAACAAGGTCAGGTTTAAATGTGGCTCGAGGTCAAAAGGTTAACAGTGACCTTTAGGATTTGAGCTTTTTATGCTGAAAAGCTTAAACAGCTGATCTGACAAGCTTCAAAAACAAGATAAATAAATAAATAAGTAGTGGTACAAGTTGTAGCTCCTTAAGTATAAAAACAGAAAGTAATGCATACGATCACTAAAACACAACTATCCTTGAAAAACTACACAATTAAATGTTACAAACTCACATGTTCACTTGCATCATATATCCTTCTGACCCCTTCCTTGGCAACATGATATTCACAAGTACTTATGCAAGCTACTACTACAACAACTACCACTACTACTATTGCAACTACAGCTACTACAGTTACTACTGAAAAGATGGTGCATTTAATGCAATTTCATTATGGAAAAACACATTTTACAGAGTAACAATATTTGGGAAAAAATATGAGGTGATGCCAAGTTGTTTTTGTTTTCTAATTAAAATATCCTAAACAAATAAAACAAGTAAATAAAACAAACAACAAAATATTGGAGAATACAAGATTGATATTATATATTGAAAAATGAAAAAAAATAAATAAATATATATATATGTATATATATATGTGTATGTATATATATATATATATATATATATATATATATATATATACATATATACACACATATATATACACACTGATAACAAAAAAATGTTTTATGCCAATTTGATTATTATAATAATACAATTTCAATTATAAGTGCATAAATAAATAATAATAATAATAATAATTACCCATTTTAAGTACTGGTCATTGGATTGATCATATTGAGTATTCCACTGACACAAGTTTTACCACACAAACATGGGAGTCTCTTACCTACACAGTGAAGATGGCGAGACAGCGTTGGGATGAGTCAAAGACTAAAAGTTGGACATCTCTGGGGGTATATATGTGCTTCCACTACTTTCTGGGGTCCCTCTTTATGGACATGGGCAAACTTTGAACCAACCAACCAGGCCAACAAGCTCCTGAAATACCTTCATCTTTTGACCGTTGGGGCTGTAAATCCTGCATCAGTGACTAGTGGTCACTTAGACTGTGGTGGTCAGCAGTCCTGGGTTAGCCCCAAGAAGCCTGTTAGTAAGCATGTCTAAGGAAGAAACAAAAATTACATTTGGGATAAAAAGGAGAAATACATGTAACTCATTACTAGTGTCTCACCTCTAGATCAATGCATCTTCTTCTCAAATGACCATTACTTCTCATGAAGCACTTTGAGCTTTTTCCAATGTGTTATTAACTACAAATGGCAAATAAACTAACCTAATCACACTGTCATTTGGACATAAATGTCAACATTGTAATTAAAATAAAATACAATATAAAAATAAATATACTGTATGTGGTATAAAACATAACACTGAGTATGACTGAGTGTTGTCTTACAATTACATGACATGCATATGGGTTATTTCTTCCAGAATGATGTTAGATACACTGCTGTTCAGCCTAAACACAATGTGGCCCAACATGTGTGGTCATTTGAAACCACTTAACCTAGATCAACAGATGGAGTGATAGAGCGAGGCCTCTGCTGACCTCTATAGGCCCGGTGGCAATTAGCAAATTCTTAAAATTCAGTTGCACTTGGTTGAATTTGTCTTTGTCACTGATTTTTTTTGTCAAATCAATCAAATGTATGTGATACATTCATGCTAAATTCACTTTTCACATTTTCCTGAATTACAAGTCTGGATATTCTGTCCCATCTCTCACTTAAACAGCACTACAAAGTGCACAACACAACATCATTAAATCACCTTTAGTTTTAGTTGATTAGGACTTTCTGGAAATTAGAAATGCAATGAGTACAAATTTGTGTTAAGGTTGGTTAAGTTCCAGAAGTGAATGGCTGTGATGTTTCATGCACCTTTAGTAGTGTTGTGAGTCTCTGAGATGAAGACAAAATATCTCCAGGCGTCGATTAGGAAACATATATTTATTATAAAATCTATCAGAGCAGGAAGTGGTCAAAAGTGAACATTCGCACAACAATTATCTACCTTCTAAATCTACTAAATAAATGCACTTAACGCCAGGGCTATTATGAAAAATAGGAGGTATTTATAGTAGAACTCATGAGCTAAAGTGACATACACTAACAAGTGGAGATGGAAGTCACAGATTTAATGAAACACATGATCTGAAATCACTGAAAAAGCTCCATAAATTCCATAAAAAGTGCCACAAGCCCAGAGCGACAAAAGTGTGTTTAGGAGGCCTCGAACATCTTCTTCCTGTCGGCTTTGTCTTCAACGTTCTTACGCCAGTCGCCCACTTCTGCGACCTGCACCACAGCACACAAGCAATATCAGTCATAGGGTCCAAAGCCTATTGCACAGTCTGTCACTAAGGCTGCACAATAACTATAGTAAAAGTACGTTGCAAATATATTAAAATATCATATACTTCATGTATCACAACAATGGCATGGTTTAACTGTCAAATTTTCATTTATTTGGTGAATATTTTCCACATTATGACTCATTGCACTATCATATCATTAATATCACCCTTAGTAATAGACAGTATAATGAAAACCCTATAAACAAACTTAATCACAAATCATAACATAGTTGCAAGATTAAACAAATTTAAATACACATTACAATTTTCCAACCCTGTACTGCCCCAGTATAACTCCTCTGTGTCCCAGGACTCACCTCCTCCTCTTTCTTCTCCTTCTTGACCTGCTTCAGGTTGGCCCTCAGGTCCATGTTGACTGTGTGTTTGGAGCCCAGCAGAGCTTTGAGCATAGCGTCAGCAGACATACGCACTTTCTTCAGAGCGGGCTTCTTCACACCAGCCAGGTCCACCACCTTCAGTTTCAGGTCCTCAATCTGGGACAAAACAAGTGAAGAAGATCTAGTATTTCATATGCAAGGTGGAAATCAATGAGCATTCAGCTACTTCCTAAACTATCAAAAATACACTAGTAATTAACAATAGTAACAGAATAGAGCAAAGATGCAATACTGGTATGGTCAATCTTTTGCATTACACATGCCCAATAAATCATATTATGAACAATTTATTCAGAAAAAAGTCCTTAAATTACCTCTTTGTCTGCCTTCGCTACTTTAACCTCCATGTCGTACCTCTCTTCATCAATCTTGTCGATGAGGGCATGCAGCTTCTTGCAAGTTTCCTAAATAAAGAAATGATGATGACTTGTCAAGTAAATTTTGAACTGTTGTATCTTAAGATAACACGAGAAGGTGTTTGGATGAGGCTTACCATGAGGGCATTCTGATCTCCGCTCTTGTCGGGAGAGGGGCATTTCTCAGCCATGTAAGCTTCTTTGGCGGCAGCAATATCTTTCTTCTCCTGCACGATCCAGCTGGCAGCAATCTGAAGCATCAAACTCTGCCCAACAGAAAACACAGAATCATTAAAACCAGAAATATGTAAACTGATCTTTAGTGTGGATGTAACATTTTTCAACTATACTGTGACCAGAGAACCAGATATTTAACCAGATATACTGTTTGTTTTTATTTTGAGGTTTTTTGGTCCAGAGGGAAAATAACCCCTCACTAACCCCACACTACTATTATATTTGTTACACTACTATAATATACTTATTAAGTTTCCTAACTCTGTAAACAAAACCAGGAGTATTCTAGCAGTAAACCAGAACTAAAGTGTGCCAAAACCAGGAGAACTAAAGTGTGCCAAAACCAATACCACCACATAGACTACTATAAATTCATGGATCTCTATGGAACCTACCTGGACGAGGTATTATGCAGATATAAAGTCATATGGTAGAAAAGCAAATACTTAAATTTGATCATATTAGTACAGAACATTGAGCCTATTCTCTAATATTCAAATCGAGTTTGACATTTTAGTAACATTACAACACTAATACAAATCCAGAGCTTTCAGATTTTAGGAAGAAAACACTTAAACCAAAATTAAACTGAGAAACACTGGCCTAAAAATACATTTTCAGCCCCAGAATTAAATATGTAGCCTTTGTCAGTCAAAAGATTAAGTTAGATATCTGACAGGATTTTGTGTTAAGACTTTTGAGCCAGTAGATGGCGCCTCATCACTAATATAGCAGCTCTGACTGATGTGTAAATGACAAGTGCAAGTGACACTGGAGATGTTATGGGGAAGGGATTTGTTCCTGATTTAAGGCGGACTCGAATCACCATGACAACCCATAAACATGTCATTCGGAGCATACCACATGAATTTAAAGTTTAACATTAAAGCACAGACTTAGCAGATTCTCCAGTGAGGATTAAATATCAAGCTATGTCTTACCTTCAGATGATGCCTGCGGCTCGAGGTCATCTTTTTGCTGTTTAAAGCAGAAGAAAACAGAAGACAAGATATTTCATTTAGGTGACATGTTCTGTAAAATAGACTTTTACTACTACTACTACTACTACTACTAATTATTATTATTAATATTATTATACTTTCTCATCATTAGCTTCATCAGTTGTATTTATGAATCAATTGATACATGCATGTTTGAGTAATCCTATATTGTCCCTCTTCCCTGTACTTGCAAGTATTCCAAAAATATCTGCCTTAGTATCACACATGCATAGTTCGAAAAGTTTTATCTCTCAACAATAAAAACACATGAATGTAAAAAGGCAGGACCTCTCAGTTCTGCAGTTTTGAACAGGAAGTCAATGGATCTAGCCACTGGAGACAATGTTGTGTTTTACAATGAATGCAATGTATATGTATAGTTTAATACTAAATCCATTAACAGTATTTTATGTTTTAAATGCATGTATAATAGTAAAAAATAGTCAGGTTTCTTAATATTAACCAAGGGAAAAATGCTCTTCTATGTGGCTGTTTACTAGCATGAATTTATGAGTGTGTGACTATGATACTGTACGTAATATGAACATCAACCAGTAAAAGGATAATTTAGATAAATGTATACAAATATATAACAACAAAAAAATACATACTCAGACATGTTTGTGGTTTTTCTTCACAACCTGTTCAGAAAGAAGAGAAAACCACTGAGTCAAATGAATCAAATGAAACGCTGAATATCAGTTCATAGCCTCCAGTGAATGAAATGCGATCTAATAAAACAGTTGATGAGCGTGGGGCCGATGACTGAGCTAAGTTTGGATCCACGAGGGTCAGATGTCGGGCCTGACGCCTGTGCTAAGCTCCTTTACAGGTGTTCTAAACTAAATATCCTCTGGGAGTTAACACAGCAATGCCTTTCATAGAGTGGGATCAGAGGCTGGGAGAATGTGCTGCTGCAGAACACTCACTGCCAACGACCAGTGTCTGCAAATGAGGCGCGCACCAAGGCCAACTGTTCAGGAGTCACTTTCACACAAACGATTCCACACGTATTTAGGATCCATGTCTTAATTGAGACGAGCAACAGTCGAGCACAACTTAGGTAAAACTAGTCACATGTTATCAGTGCAAAGTTGCATGAATCTTTTAAACTAAAGCAAAAATTTCTTGAATTTCCCTCGGGATCAATAAAGTATCTCTCTCTAAACTAAGCTTACATTTCAAGCATAACTATAAAAACTATAAATTGGTAAATAAAAAACTCAATTCTTGGCAAATCTATTTTATATAATAAACATATGAATTAAGATTACCATAATAATTCAAACATAGAAAATAAACCATTTGGTTAATCTTTCATGCAGCCTCCATCTTAAATTATAAATTGTGAAAAACACCATTACATAATTCATGACATTTAAAAGAACTCAATTATGGGATTATCTATTTTATATAAAACTCACTTAAATTAAGATTAGGGGAAGAAATCTCAACACAAGAAATTGGAAAATAAAGCATTCTGTGAATCTGTCATGCAGCCTCTACCTCATAATCACTAATATAAAGTATATAGCAGTTGTCAAAAGCATTATCGCCATAATCCATGACATTAAAAAAAAAAAAAAATCAGTCAAGGCTTATATATTTCACTTAGTTAATTCATTTCAGGCATAGACAAAATTATGTGTATACTAAAAAATAAAGCAATCATCAATACTTGAGATTATGACTTCCATTATGTTAGCACAACATCATCCAGACATGCAGGTAGCAGGTAAACCGGACTCACCTAGCGTACACAGAATATTCAGGCGGACAGGGGCAAGGGAGTAGCAGAGACAGTGAGAGGCGATGGCGGAGGGGGCATTTATATATGAGGCTGCCGATATGGATATGGAGTTCCTGTTTATGGAAATGCACAATCCTCAGGCCAATCGCCCCGCCACAGCCCCCCGTATCATCTTACAGAGCCGACTTCACCCATTAAATCTGGGGATGGTGAGGAGGGGCCCGATATCATTTTAGGGCTCTGAGGTCACGGAGGCGCTATAAAAGAAGGATGTGTGCAATGAAATAGAATAAAACCAGGAGTGAAGGAGGAAACATTCTTACTATAATGTAAGAGATGAGATTACAAACACTTTACTCATTACTACATGTCTCATTAGAAATAACTGGCAAAATCACACATTTTCAACATTTTTTTGGGGAAAATATAACATTCTATTCAGGATTCAATATTTTCATGTCATGTCATTGTCACAGAAAAACAACTAAATGACAAAGTTCTATGTTTTACTGTGCCACAAAAGAGATGGATGCCAGGTTTGTAAATTGTTTTAAAATAGAATTTTCCATTACTCTTTACAGTTTTGACACATATTTATATATATTTTTAAATTTTTTTGTAGCAATAATTTGTCATTGAACGCATAAGGACATTTCTGTTCATTAACTATTGTCTTTTATATTTATGGTTTCAGATACCGAACTGAAATGTTAAAATCAAATTCAACAGCCTAAATATGTCTCTGTGATTGTAGATAGACTCAAAACTTAAACACTTGACGTCTTGTTCTTACTTCTCAGACTCATGTTAGTTCTTCAATCCATCACGTGGCCATTTCAAAACGCCAAATATTCCTAATGACCTTGCTTAATATAGAACTAAAATAATTACTTTAACAACAGTCAATTAACTCCTTCTATCTTTAGTACTTGTAAACGAAATAGCCCTTGCCCCAAATTCCACCAATTAGCCACTGGTTTATCTCTAAGATGTTGTCTCTTCGAATCCACTCACCTGTGCCCATAGTGTTACCCATTCTTCTCCCACTTCAAGACACCGGCAAAGGGCTTTCAGGTTGTGTCATCTTCCCCGAGAAAATTAGCGGGCAAAGAGGTCTCCTTCGCAGCTGTCATGCCGCCTTAACGAGTGAAGGGGAGGTTCGAAAGTTAACGAACGTCCAGTGCAGGGTGGTAATTGAAGACTGCGTTGTGGCTTTCTCCTTGGCGATGTGACCTATGAAACAAGAGATGACAATTAATTCAATCACTTGGTCAGATCTTTTCTTTAATCACCAAAAATCCAAGAATCTCATTTGGCTCATTATCTATCAGAAGGAATTACTGATCACAAGCCTTATTGTAAGATAAGATAATAACTAAATGAAAATAAAACTTACACTAAAACTGCGACAGTGTTGAAGTGTTGCGCCATCGTCCAGTTGGTCAAGACCGAAATCTGAAAAGAGAGAAACCGGTAGAGAAGCTTTGATATCACTTTTAACTATTGCCCAAAATAAAAAGTGCTTAACCAGCTCCCATATGTGAGGACTATAAATACCATATAATCATCACTGGCCCTGGTTAGCGTTTCATCTTGGAGCGCAACTAAAGGTCCATAACCCAGAAGTCCTTCCAGACCATTCTGTGGCTCCTGGGGCGATCTCATATGAACTTGGCGACATAAATAGATTGGTAAAATTTCAAATGGTGGACTTTCCATCTGGGTAATGTTGCTAGTGTATATTATATGTGCATTTACCTAGCCTCACCTTCAGCTGTGGCACGATAAATATTATTCAAGATGATAGACTTACAAGTTCCCTCAGGACATGAGGGAAAGCTCTGCAGATTATTGTTTACTTGTGGAAAATGTGAAAACTGACTACTCTCACTAATTTATCTTATCTATATTTTGGGCCTTGTCTTATTTTTCTCTGGTTTATCATTTTAAAGGTGCACTATAAACACAAGAGAAGGCTTGCAACCTGCTTATCTTCATGTAAATGTTATTGCCTGGAATTTTCCATAATATCACATTAAACTTGATTTTACATTTATTCAATTACAGGTATACCTTAGCATTTTTTTGCTAACTGATATCTTGAAAAACATGCATTCCTACTGCGAGCTGGCTCGCCACTCCACAGATTTGAAATGGAGTAGTGCCAAACAGTGGAACAATCCAGGCAATGCAATAACATGGAGACAAGCAGGTGGTGGACCCTCCACTAGAAAAGTTCTATAGTGCGTCTTTATGACAATATTTTAGGAAGAAAGAAATCATAGTAAGAACATATTACAAATATGTCAAATAAAACTGTCTTGGAAAATGAAATGAACTTTATTGATTCACCGAGGATTCTTGGTCATCCATAACCTGTCTGGAGTGGAGAGTTACATTTCTCATCATCAAGACTTTTTCAAAATGGTGGCATAGCACTAGCAAAATTACTTCTTGTTGTTTTACCATCTTCACAGCAGACTCATAAATACCACTATATTCTTTATGGAGTTCTCACTGGTTAACCTTACATGTACCAATTTATAATAACTACACCTTAATAAAGCACAATTCATAATGAGCAATTTGTTCATTAAGAAAGAGTCAGGCTTAATTTAATTAAGGATATAGGGTTTAGGTTTTAAGTAAGTAGGTACTAGGGTTGAATTTATTTGGTCATTATAAATTAAGACCATGCTTTGATGAGGCTAATTAACAAGTAGTTATTATAGAGTGCCACCACATTACCTGTTAGCCTGTCTGACCTGGAATCTTTAACAGTCAGACTCGGGACTGTGACTGCAGAGGGTACATGTTGACAGGCCCGGGTGAGTCACAAGCGAGAGGATTTTGAGGCATGCTGGGTATTTAGCAGTCCCGGGGTGATTTCTGTCAGAGAGATGGGCACATGTCGCCTCTAAAGATGTGTTACTTACAACCCGATCTGGAGGAATGCTCTGTGCACCAGGGCCGATGTAGCGCAGGGCCTATCCGCGCTATCACAGCTATATGTGTATGTTTACATGGCCTCGGCTTCAGAATGCCTGTCTGTCTTCCACCTGCTTATGTGAGAGATGGATAGTGCCCCCCCACACTATTGTCAGGTTATGAACAAGAAAACATACTTTAGTTATGAGAAATTGTAACAATTTTTATCCATTCAATATATTTCTATGCACAAGAAAATTTCCAAACAATTATGTGTTTTTTTAATATAGATTTTAAAGTTCTTTGGTAATATTTTGATTAACATTTAACACCATCTAGTGGCCAGAAGAAAAACCGCCAAGCATAGGGTTGGTAGCACTTTTGTAGGCATTTCTGAGTAATTTTATTCATATATGCAGTTAGAGATGCGCGGATGGCGGTTACAGCCGAAGACTCCGCGGCTAAACCACATGTCGGGCGGATGACGTGACGAAAAATTATATTTTAATTAAATTCGGGCGGGTGGCGGTTTCACTACTCAAATAAAAAACTCTGAACTCGGAGCAACGGGGAGGGACCGAGCGGATGGCGGGCGGGTGCTGTTTTGAAAACTGGTCAAAAACTGTGGTTGCAAATGGATAGCGGGCGGATGATGAGTTTTGCGATGCGGTTGCGGATGAAAAAGAAGCCCATCTGCGCACCTCTACTATACAGAGGTGAATAGTCCTTAGTTACATTTCTTTAAGCATTTTTACTCCCATTTGAGTAAAGGTTTGAGTTACTTTTCCAACTGTGTGCAAGTCTACAAGTGACAAAAGCTTTACCATGACAATATTAAATGATTTAAACATTTGTGTTTTTTGTATCATTCCTTAAAATTTCTTCTCAGTTTTGTGTCTGTCTTTTGAAAATACCAGAGTGTGTGTATTATTATGTGTAGCATGTGTTTTCCTTCCAATTACATTAACTTCAAATTATAAATCAAATGTTAAACAGTAAAGTTACTTTTACTTGAGTTGTCATTTTCCCAAATACTTTTTTTACTCTTACTTGACTCATTTCTTGGCCCACTACTTTGTACTTCTTGAGTAATATTATTATGACGTAATGTTAACCGGTTTGGCTACTCTACCCACCTCTACATATATGATTATACTACTTTTATACATCACATTTTGTCACTATTGTATGATTTTTTTTTTTTTTATTTCTCTTGTGGATCAATAGTCTAGTCTAAGAACAACATTTTATCTATTAGTAAACTCTTCCATAAACATTTTGTATGCACTGATATAGCCTGCCTTAAATAGCACAGATGTTGGTGTAAAGGAGCTGGTAAACCTGATACTGGACTGAGGCATATCCAAACAGCTCCTCAGTGAGAGCTTTCAGGGTCAGGTTAAGATTAGGTTAAGGTTGTTTGAGGGTCCAAGTTCAACATAAACTCACCTCATGTTTACCTCTCCTCTTCAGGATAAAAGTCCCTCATTCAGCTCATAAGCTACAACACAAAAAAATGAAAGTCTGAAACAAAGATAACATTACTGCTGTCCCAAAATGTGACGTAATGCTGTAACACATTGTGGAGATGTCAGACATTGTGATTGATTTGTCTTTATTTGGATATGGGGGCTTTTAGAGAACTAAACTTGGCATTGCGGACTTTGACACTGAAATATGAAGGATGCTTTGCGTTCCTTCTAGAATATAACTCTTAAAATGCAAGTTATATAACTGTCCTACTGTTTCATATCCGTTTGGAATAAAACAATTACTCCAATTACTCAATTATTATTTTTTAACTACTGAGTAAAAATATGTATTAAAATATTGAAAAAATATTGTTACCACAGTACTTAATGGCCATACTGAATATTGAATAATGGTCTTTACTGTCAATTTCTGCACATGTACTGGACATACAAAGGAATCAAAATTGGAATCAAATTGCAATATTTTCCAATTACTGTGCAGTATTGGAATTTTTTTCATGGCAGATGCCAATAGATTGTATAAAATGCAGGCCAGCCAACAGCTTATAAACTCTGCCAATATGGATCGATTTTGATCATCTTTCCCACATTAAGTAATTTAATACTGTATTCTTTAGGCAGCAGGTTGGCCAAAACAATCAGCCTAAAGTGCTGGAGATTTAAGGCT